TCTCTCTCTCTCTCTCTCTCTCTCTCTCTCTCTCTCTGCGACATTCAGCTCTGATTAATGACCGAGTCAGAGGGACCCCGTTTATAAACAGTCGCTGCCTGGTTAGGAAGGGTGCAGTTTGGCGCGCACAACAACTGGCCTGTGATGAGCCCCGAGGCCAGTCCGAGACCGCGTGCGACAGTGCCCACTCGGCACATGAGCAATTAGCACAACACACATTTTCTCACGCTTCGATTTGCAGCTTCAGAAATAGAGAAATATTCTCTCAAAATGAATAGTTCTCGCGCGATGTTTTCTTTATACCGTTGCGTAAAGACTTTGACACAGCAGTTTTGCAGATTGGTTACCCCTAGGGATCATGGCGCCTTACAGACGGAGCGAGAAGCTAAACTCGCACACTGCTGCCGCAGCCGCAGCCCTCTGACACAGAGTGTGGGACCCAGACGAGATTTTCTGGACGAAATTCTCACTCTGGGTTTAAATAAACGGACCCAAGTAAAAGGCACAGCAGCGTGTACCTGCTCGCAGCTCATTCCCAAATTAGATTTTCCCTTCCATTTTGTTTGCCCGTTTGTACTCGGCTCGTTATTCCTGCGAGGCCTGCCCGATTCATTCAGCTCGCAGAGAGCGTATGTCGGCTCCCTTTCAAATTACCGTGTAGTTCCCGCGTGAATGTGTTTGCACGGTTTCAGTCACGGACATACCCCACTTGATGATTTCAGTGCGGCCACCACATACCTGACAGGGGGACACTGCTCCGCTTTTTCCACCACGTTTCATCTCTTGAAAATACACGAAATTTCATCACTTTTTGCCCCTAGCTGATTCCGATTCGCTTTTTACCTAAACGGCAGATTTGGGCGACTAGCTCCATGCATTCGAATTCTGTAAACTTGCTTCGCCTGCGCATATTTTTCGCGTCGATGCCATGACCGAGGCTGTCCGTCTTCAACTGATAGCACTCGGTCCGACTAGAAAGTAGCGTCTCCATATCTGCTGGTATCAGTATCCACCGCTCTTCAAAAACGTAATGCTTTATCTTATCTTTGAACTGATATCTAAAGCGTTCCAATGGCAGCTGCACAGGAAGGAAGGGTAATTTCTCTCAGGGCTAGATTGAATAAGACCAAGCATAAGCAAGCGGCAATCGAAACTCGACCCACCTGCACTGTTGGAAATTATTTCGTAATTTGACGGAAAATGTCCTGTTAATTCAATTTTTCTACAAAATTCGTTTACTTCGTTAGTTTAAAGTAACAAATACATTGGTAAAAAAAAATTAACTCAGGAAAAATGGCTCAGGTTCTTCGGTGTGTTTCAACACTACCGATTAATTACTCCATTGTTAAGGTCGATTAACTCAGCAGCAGTGCGCCACTGACGTGAGTGCGAATTCCCTCCTCTCCCCCTCTCTTTCTCTCTCTCTCTCTCTCTCTCTCTCTCTCTCTCTCTCTCTCTCTCTTTCTCCCTCTCTCTTTGTCTCTCAGGTAAACGGCCCTCGAACGACGCTGGTGCACAGCCTAGCGCAGGAGCCACCGTTAACCCGAGGGGGCTTGGCTAAAGTGCCTCCTTCGTTCCCCTTGGCTTGTGGATGGGCTGAAGTAGAAGGAACGAGGCGGCAGTGAGAGAGAGAGAGAGAGAGAGAGAGAGAGAGAGAGAGAGAGAGAGAGAGAGAGAGAGAGGGGTACAGTGAGGGTAAGGGAGAGCAAACAGAGGGAAGTGAGGGGTAGCGATACAACAATGCATGGCATGCGCATTGGATTTAGTAATCTCGTACGGAACGTGACGTCATCACTCAGCCATATACACCTGGCGGATGAGTCGGGGCACGCGGAGACACGGGCGCCGCCCCCGCACAGAGGACCACGCAGCGCAGCGCCGGGGCCTCGCCCGAGAGGAGGAACTAGGTTATGACCCTTTTCATGAGCAGTAAAGTCGGTTCCGCTGCAGCAGCCGCGGCCCCCGGCCCCGCGCCGCCCCCGCCGCAGCCCGGCTCAACCGGTAATCGGACGGAGAGCCAGCGCAACGGCCATGTCTCTGTCAACACAGTGGGGCGTGCGACGCTACAGTGTGTGTGTGTGTGTGTGTGTGTGTGTGTGTGTGTGTGTTTGTTTGTATATATTTTTGTTATTTTTTTCGACATCGCTGTGTTGGCTGAGTTGTGGTACCATTTTCATTACCCATGGTTCTCGCTCTCCGTAGCTGATCTGTACTGTTGCCCACTGCAGATGAAACATTCCGTAACTCAATGAGACCGCGCGGTCAATTTTGGGGATCCCTTAAAATGAAGGGGAGGAATCAACCCCGTGTCTACCCTCCACCTCTCCTCCCCACCTCGCGGCTTTCAGAAGGCGACACGGTGGTGCCGCTCCGACCCGCCCCCGCCAACCTTTATCAGCAAAGGCCCGCGTGCGTGTGCGTGTGTTATGGGGCTCGACCCATCAGGGTCAGCTAAGCATGCGCCTGTAGGCCCTCCCCCAACTACCACCCCTTCTGCCATCTCTCTCTCTCTCTCTCTCTCTCTCTCTCTCTCTC